GAAGACCCTAGGCTAGAAAGATTTTTACAACTATCAGTAAATTCCCAATTTAAAAAAATATATATCTAAAAATACAATTAGAGCAATGCTTTAATTTTTTTTTCATATAAACAAAATTTAATTTCTACTTTGTCAACTCTTAATTCCAAAATTACACTTACATTTAATGTTTAGACTTCCAAATACAACATTGGCTTTTGTTTTACAAATTTTTTATAACCAATAATGATTGGGAAATTGCAGTTTGTATTAAAGTTTTTTACAAATTTTTTATGATACATCCAAGGTTCAAATTTTTTATACACCYGTGTATAGGCAGGGGCGTATCGGTACTTAAATTAGCATGCTTTTATATTTTTCTAGTTTTTTCAAATTTTGGTTTTTGGGCATATTTTTAACCATATTTTTTTATTAAAAAAGAGTGGTTCTCGAAACCCCTTCAAAAAAGGCGTATCAGGCGTATCGTATCGAAACTTTGAACCTTGGATACAACCAATGAATTTCCGGATGTTTATTACACAACTTCTTGTATTTTAATTAATCATTTATTTATGATTATTGAATATTTTTCAAAATATAGAAGTAATTTAAATTTTTAAAATATTATTGATATAATAGAAGTTAAATTTAAAAAATATTGGGAAAATATTTTTCCTCTATATTGCTTAGCTATAATATTATATCCTAGGATTAGAAAAGATGGTTTAAATGTTTTACTTGAATCTTATTGTGAAAATAATGAGAACTAAAATTGGAACAAAAAAATGAAATTGATAATTTATTATTTTTATATGAATCTCAATTATAAGGACATAGGAGAACTTGACAAGGTACAACCTTCACTACTAAAACATCTAGTTCTAATAGTGGAAGAGAAAAATTTTGGTCTTTAATAAATAAAAGGCAAAAATCAACTACCACTTCATCATCAATTTCATTTACAAAACTTATTTTTTATTTACAAGCTAATTTTACTAATTTAATTGATTCTCTTAACTCAAAGGAATTAAATAATTTCAATATTGTAGCCTGATGGAATGAACATGGAAAAAAATTATCCAAAGATACCTCTCCAATTTCTTTCGAACAATCTCCAGACACCTTCTCGTTACCCAAACTCTTGATACAGCCACTTTCTATGTGTTCTACCTTGTTCTCTAAAATTGCACTTTTACCCCTAGCCCCTCCAACTCGATGTCTCCTTCCTCCACCCGACTCTTCAACTTCTCACCATCCTCAACCTTGCAATCTTAAAGGATCACCCTAGATTCCTCATCCACAAAATTAGATTCTGCCTTGATTGAACCTAAATCTTCTCTCCGCTCTAGAAAAAAGTTTGATCTCCCCCCTCAATCCTCATACCACCTTAAACCAATATAAGAGGAATATGAGGTTTTGAATTCGCTACTTGCTAGCATCATAGAAAAACAGTGTATCACCTAGAAATCGTAAAAGAGGGATTTTTCAAGCCATTGGTACCAACTTCAAATCCGTCCAACGTACCTCCCTCCCCACCATATTGTTCAACCATTCCATCACAATAAGGAACAAAAGAGGTGATAGTCGACCACTATGCCTTAAAACCTCTCAAACTAGGAAATCCACTTTAGAAGGCACATTACGTTGCATTTGTTTGTGGTGTAAATCCAAATTTACACCGAGGAATTTAACAACAGTCGTCTTTTAAGAGTGTAAAAAGGCAACCAGCTTTTGGCCCCATTAACACTCCAGTGTGTTTGGTTGATTGACGTAAAATACACGTCGCAGTTTTGCTGCCGTTTGGAGAATACCCATCGATGTAAAACTCCACCTCTGTTTAAACTCCTGAAATCTCTTCAGGGGAAATGGTAAAGTCTCATAAGTTTGCATAATCACAAATTCAAAGAAAGCATAAGAAGAAAATGGAAGTAGAAAACGAAAACTTTGGTTCAGTCAAAGGGCGAAAAAGAGGAGCAAAGAAGGGGGAATTGGGTTTACAAAGAGGGAGAAAGGGGAAGTTGAGAAGGACGAGATTTTGTTCGACTCACTGCCAAAAGGATGAAATCGAGGGAGAACTGTGTTTAATGAAGGGCTTTCCGATGACAGAATTAGAGAACGGCTTGTTCCTGATAAATTGAGAGAGAGAGAGAGAGAGAGAGAGAGAGAGAGAGAAGCTGAGAAGGAATAGTTAGTTCCTAGTAGATGGAAAAAGGAGAGGTAGAAGGTTATCCAATGCGAGCAAGATCGTAGACCACCTTCTACAAGGTTTTCCAATGAGGATGATTATCAGAGAAAGGTCTTCCAAGTGGGATTGTGAGAGGGACTCAAAGATTAGTTCAAGAGTCATAGACGAGGAACCAGGTTCCTACAAGCATGAACATAGCAATGGAAAGAACCACGGGAGAGAGTACTCCTCTGGAAGTTGTCTAAAACATAGAAGCAACAGCACTGGTGACAGAGATGCCACAAAGTTGAGACAAAGCAAAAAAGGAAATGGAGAAGAGAGACGTTATACGAGCGGGAGGAGTTTTACTTCATTCGGAGAAACGAAGAGGTACGTCAATTTTTTATGTAATTTTTATATTGATTATCATTGTAAAAGTCTTCCAAAATGGAGTTTTACGCGGATTTCCAGTGTTCAACTACACTCCATCCAAACAGCTGCAAAACCGGACCGAAGTGTAATATTACACTGGTCCGGTATTTACACCCCAAACAAACCCAACCTTAATGAGAATTGGAAATCTTGATGTGGTAACACATAATCCAATTGCAACAATTCTGCACAAAATGCATCCTATACATTTACGATATAGAATATTAGAATTTCCCCTTAGCCAATTTATATTTTGCACCTCACTATCCAATACAATCATAAGAGGCCAAGTACAATCTTCAAAGCATCTTGTACTTGTCTTGACCAATTCATGGAAAAGATAAGTTGGTTTTGAGCAACCTCTCCATGCCTCTTGGCAAGTTTATGACATTGAAGTTGAGCATCATTTATTTTGGATAAATAGATAAAAACTGATTGTAATATCAAAATGGTTAATGTTTTCAAACACTGAAACAAGACAATAACGTGTTCCACRTGAATTATGCTAAAGACATGTGTACAAGCCTCAATGCATGGAGCTTAAGCCTCACAAGCATGTCTTTCTTTGGTAAATAAATGATCAATATAAAAAAATAAGGACCATTCTAGATTATATATTGTATAATTTTACCACAATAATTGTTGTAACCTGTCTTCTATAAGATGCAGGCTTATATCATTTTGTCATTGGTTATGTAAAACTAATATAATAATAGAGTGGGTGTTGTCAGGCCCAAGGTTCAAAATTTTGATATGCCTCTGTGTATCGACAGGGGTGTATCGGTACTTAAATTAACGTCGTGCTTTTAGATTTTTTTAGTTTTTTTTTTCAAAATTTGGTTTTTGGGCATATTTTTAACCATATTTTTTATTAAAAAAAGAGTGGCTCCTGAAACCCCTTTAAAAAGGCATATCGTGAAGCCACCGACACGATACGATACACGAATATCGGGTAATCGAGCGTATCGTATCAAAATTTTGAACCTTGGTCAGGCCCACTAAGATTCTCTCCCAAACTGTCTTCTTGATATTTGTGGAAAAACTACTAGGAAGAAGCAAGTTGCCCATAAACACACAAATACGTAGTTAAAACACTTCATTTGAGAAAGGATTCAGAGGCCAACTTGTGAAACATTTGGAAATGTAATTTTCATTGAAGAAACAATCTCGGAAGCAGCTCAGAAGCAGCTTAGAAGCTAATGAAAATGATCCAAGAAGCACCACGGAATCATGGTTCCTTATGGCAATCAATTCTTACATGGTACTTCAATCAATGAAACAAGAAAAAAAATCATAAGTACAAAACTCCAAACAAATAATTATATTAAGTAACAAAAGCCTTTTGACTGGGATATGATTCAGGGACCAACTTGTGAAGCATTTGGAAATGTGGTTTCCATTAAACAAACAATCTCGAGAACAACTCGGAAGGTACATGAATTCCAAAATGATCCAAGGAGCATGGAAACGTGGCTCATCATTGGTGAGTGTGCATATGTGTATGAAAGAGAGAAAGGAGGAATAATTACGGAACCCCAAAATAAAGAGATGATAAATATTAAGTGACAATAGGAACTTTGATTTTGTTTTTAAGAATTAAAATAAGCATAAATAAGAACCTTACTCTTTTACATAAAGAGAAAGGAGAAAAGGCAAGAAAATATTTAAAAAAAAAATAAAGCATTGGTGCTGATTTATTAAAGAAAAAACATGTATAACAATATTAATTAGAAATCTCGTAGACATTTAGAAATTTGTGCTACAGCACCACCTACCTTGCCTCCCTTATCCTAAGGTTCTTCTGAGCTCCGTTTCTTGCAACAATTTCTTGTTGCGGAAACTGAGGTGCAAGCACATGAGTGAAGCACATAAACAACTACAAAACTGCTTTTCTCTTTTCCTAGTCATTAGCTTCTTCACTCCCTCTTTTAGTATCAAATGTCCAAGCAGTATTAAGTATGAAAAACTTATGGACAGCCAAGGGCCCAACAAGTCTTCAACTTACGGGCACCTGTTGGACTGTTAGACCATAAATCATACACCCAATGATACGCACTGTAGGTGAAACACTTAGACATCTAAGTAAATATAAGACGACTTTAACCAGCATTGCATATAAAGCCTCAACCGTACAAAGTACCCCGTCTAATAGCAATGAACCCAACGTCGACTACATGCTACTTGGACCTGGGTACATTTTATTGAATGAAAATCGAACATCTGCGTTCTTCATTACCACAATCCTCAGAAGTAAAATTGCAAATAACAACTAAATAATAAATAAATCTATAGGAAAAAAAAAGTGAATTTGCAGGCATTCCCTTCAATTGCAATAGAAAAGCACAAAAAAAAAGAAATATTAGGAGAGCATAAAACGGGAATAACTGAAATTTGCGATGTCGGTGAGAAAAGAAAGGGAACTCACTTTTTGTGCCTCCGACCTCGCTTGGGCCCCCAGGCCTCCAGCTTCGCGACAGGACAACCGCACTGAGCCCGAAACAGCAGAACTGCCCGTCCATTCGGCGGTGCCATCTTCCTCAGCTCAGATCTCAGAAACTCGTAATCTGGGTTCGACTCCGAGCCTCCTTTCCAGGGCAAATTAGCAAAGTCTTTGGACGAAGTTTTCAAGCAATCCTCCGTCTGCAACTGTAGATCATACTCTCTGGCCTTCTTCAAGCCTTTGCATCCCGGATTGTCGCATTTCCTCGACCTATTGCCGCAACAGATCTCAATAACAACCACCGACACGATAAAGAAGAACAGAAACCCTAGAAAGTAAGCCAACGGAGACTCTCGGAAGGAAGCGGAGTGAGAGATAAATAGAGGAGGAAGGATTTGAGAGAGGGACTGGAAGATGTAAGAGAGGCAGGAGATGACGAGGAAGGCGCATGAGAATAGCACGAGAATGAGGATGAGAATGTCTAGGGTTGCAGAGGGTGAATGCTTGCAGAGGAGAGAATTAGGGTTTGAGGAGGATCTCCTGGACTTCTGAGAAGGTGATGGGGCGGGCATGGCGGTTATGGAGGAGAGAGGATGTAGCATGTTACGTCTTGGGTCTTGTTCTGCGCCTTCTCTGCTCTGTTTTATGAAATGAAAGACCAGGGAAAGGAGAACGCTGGACGCGCAAGCGCGAGTTAAGGCCAAATGTCGTAAAATCTAAAAAAAAATCAGTGGGGTGCGTAGGTTAAGGTAGCAGCGATGGCACTGACTACCAACGTAAGAACTACGGGCGCCAGAAGCCCAAATACCGAAGAGCTCAGCAGCTAAACCAGTGACTGACACCAATTTTTCTTTCTTGGCAGATGAAATACCACCCACGTGTCATACTGTACAACTGTTGGACTACTGACTCTTGCCACCTGGCAATATTAGTCCTTTCTCATATTTGGTCCAATGTGAACCCTTTCTCCGAAGTATTTATAGGGTTTTACCTTTATTTTAACAAAATATATAGGCTTCCATCATATTACACGAACATGGATCCCCTCCCAATAGAAAAATGTTCAAGACGTTGGAAGATCTTTGTCCACCCATCTCATATGTGATGGGTCCCAATGGCGAGGGAGTGGGACTGGGATYTGTTCATAACAAAAATTGTACCAATATGGTACCAACATCATCTCTGTTCACACCTCATCAGTGAGACTCCCTATGTTTGTAATGTGTAGGTACAGATCATATTGACACGTGTTGAAACATTTTTTGTTGAATACATCTGACCTCAATGGTGAGATGTATACTTAGTATATACATGCATTATGTTGAAAGAGTATTAGAACAGTTTGCTGTTGGGAGGTGGTCCCACTATACATAATAGTTGCAATGGATGAATCTACATATGCTTCCAACTCGAAGGCTCCCAATATAATTGTAACAAATAGGGAAAATAGGTGATGCAGAAAATATATGATATGACAAGAGTTTTGACCAATCAAAACTTATCCATAAATTTTGATAATTAACACCATATTCCCTTATGATTTTGGTTTATTGGTCAGTTGTTTTTCGGATATTATATCTTTTCTATATCATAATCAAACCCATTTGAGACCCATCTTGCATAAGGTATAATCATGTTGGAACCATTTTTGTTGGGAGAGATCCAGGCTCAATCACAACCCACTTTACTCATTGGGTCTTATAGTCATATTTTAAAGAGATCTAAGGGCGATTGTTAAAGGGGTCAATGTAAGAGTCCAAGAAGCAAGAGTTATAACCATGTGATCATATTGATGGTTGTGCCATGATCATCTAATACATGTGGGGACCCCTAAAGTAATTACTATTGAAGAAAATAAGAAGGGAAAGAGAGAGTTTGGATTTACGACCCACAAGACCTCTACTCACACTTACCGCATGACATCACATCCCCATACAGGAAACATCTCTTGTGGGTGGGGATGTGATGTTCCCAATTCACAGCCGTAGTATTTTGTAGATACTAGATAGGCGATCCAGAATGAAAGAGAGTAGCTTGTTTCAAATGATGTTTTCCCATATCAAGCTGCTCCTGTTTATTATTACATGTAGCCGTCAATATCTTTTTAATTTTATTTCTTTTTTGGTAATACACCAATTCCTCCGTATATTTGCCTTAGTTTGATTTTGAAATCCCTTAGGAATTTGGTTGACTGACAGGTTTATAATAATAATATAAGAAAAGTTTGTGTTTGTTTGGAACTAAATCCGTCAAAGGGTTTGAGTCAGTAGGATAGGGTGGTTTCAGTCCCGAACCAATTATTAATGGGGACAAAATCGTAGACCCAAAACCGCCTCAATCAATAACACACCGGGTCTGACCCGATAGATTCAATTATACTGAAAATTATATTTATTTTTTATTTAATTAATAACTTAAAACTAAAATTTTGATAATATAATATCAATAAAAATGATAAACTGTTAAATCACTTATATGTTAATAATTTGAAGATTTTTAACCGATATTGTCTTATATGTTGTTTATCAAATTTATCATTTCAAATATAAAATATGATAAAAATTATAAAAATAATTAAAAAACTTATATATATATATATATAATAAAATAATTGGTTTGAGAGTATTCAAGACGGACAATAACTGAAATCTATCCAATTAAAATCATGGAATTAGAACTAACATAATCAAATTGATTCGATTCAGACAATCGGATACAACCGGGCCAACCAAATTATTAGCCATGACAAAATAATGAAGCAAAACCAATTTAATCGGTTCAATTCGATCAGTTGGAGCAGTAACTGACTCGTTGACAACCCTATGAGAAATGTATATCATCAAAACTAAAATCCTACGGCGTTTGCCATTAAATAGTCTTTAACCTTCACAGAAATGGGAGAAGTTGGCATTCAACCTTCAGCGAAAGAAGAATGGGAGAAGTGAAATGAGAAATCTAGAGATACATGATGCATGAGTTCCAAAAAGCTCATGGCTGGCCCCATAGAGTCACCACCCATTTTTGTTTTAGAGGAAATCGGTCCTCCTTTCATGTTAAACCATTCATATTTTTTGACAAGGAGGGACTCCATTCATTCACCAGCCTAGAAAYAGGAATTCAAGAATTCTTTGAAGAAGGAGAGGGAAGGGGTTAGGCACCCCTCTCCTTAGTTGCAAACACAACCCAGTTTGAGGTCTATCTAGGCTTATAAGAAAAAAAAAAAAAAAAACTAGATTTACTTAGTCAACAAGCAGTATTAGAATACAAAAAAGGGTTGAAGAACCGTAAAGTTCATGGAAAACAATTTCTTCAAAAAATGTCAACCATGGTTTAATGGGGATGTTTTCAGGGAGTTGGTATTGAATTTGCCAAATTCCTCACCTCTCTTCCTTAAGTACCATGACTGATAAAACTAAAAAATCCTACCGAACCTTAAATTCCTTCAACCTTACCACAACAATAAGCCAAAACAAAAACTTAGAAATCAAATAAAATTACTAAAAATCAAGCCAAAATATTGACAAGGTGAGTTGAGAGGCCTACCTCTCSAGTGTAGCCTTAACAGACAATTTTCAACAGCTATGACGGGCTCTGAAATGCATATTGAGGGTAATCGTCATTGGTGGTTCAATTCCAAACGTTCTTGGATGCTAAGAAACATATATTTTAGAGTATCCTAGACTTAGGTATGTGTTAGGAACGAGATAGGGAGAGATTAAGTGATTTGGACACCTTTCAAAACCCTAGGGTTCCCATTTATATGGGGTTTGGATATGTTTTCACTCAAGGCCGAGTTTCTTTGAATCGTGGATGCTCTTTCTCTGTTTTTTCTTCAACAATGTGCTATTTGTAGAAGATAGAAGGCAAACAACATCTACAACTTCTTCTCCACACATCCAAGGCTTTATAGGGCTTTCTCTATGTGTGAAATCTCAAAGATTTTGCTTGTAGAAGCTTCCAATCATCAATTTTCAGTGTTTCCCCATGAAAGATTGAAGAGATTTTGGGTTTTTTGGCCCCCCAACGAGGTGGTTTTCATGTCTATCATTGAAGGGCTTGAATTATACATTCTAGTGGTAGAAAACATAAATTAAAGATGGCCTTTATGTAACTTCATAGGTCTAAGAAGGGTTATTTTGGGGTTTTGGGGTTTATTTCGCCTGTTAGGAGCATGCTGATTGGTCCAAATATTTAGAGGGGCTTATGAAGGGATGACATCAGCCACCACCTCCTTAAAACCATAGATAAGGCCAACTAAGAGTGATTTAATCTAGAGCACTAAAATAAAATATTTTTAGTTTAACGATCAAATAGAGGAGTTAAGCTGTAAAAATTGATGTACTGGGGTTTWTCAGGTATTTGAACATGGTGGTGAGGTCCGATTGATCAAATAAATTTGGAATGATGGAGATCCATGGCATAATGTGCTCTAATCAATAAAATTTGCTAAAATAAAATCTTAGGTTGATGGTGGGTCAAATGAGGAAATCTTAAGACGAAATTTGATAGGTAGACATTATTAAACATATTGGATTTGATGGAAAATATGGATCTTTGATCAGAGGTGTGGATTAGAAGATTTATCTCAGATTAAGGTTTCAACTTGGAATCTTGCTAGTTTCAAAAGGAAATGAGGGAATTTACTGTTGAAATTAAATGGTGGGTTAATTTAGGGTTTTGGAATTACTGAGAGGGGTTTGATCATCAATATTATAACTCTTGGTGTGGTTGGAATATTTGTCAATGGGATGATCAATTGTAGAGATTTTGAGTTGAAATGTAAATTAAGTTGTTGATCATATGAGGAGTTTAGATTTGGTCTTTGTGGTTTATAGTTTATATGATTGATTGTTGTGATTTTAGGATGGGATTTGGTAGTTGATGCACCTCAATGATTTTAGAGTTTAGGAGCGAGAACAAAGACGTAAGGTGAATGATTGAGCAAAAATTGGGTGTTGACAGCTACCCCTCTTTGTTGGAGGTGGTGGGCCGGGGCCACTGATCAACAAAGAAAAAAAAGAAGCACATAGGGATTTTTGTGAGGGTTAGGGAAGGAAAGGAAAGGAAAAAAAAATGTTGTTGGAACTACTTAGTGAAGGCCATAATTGATTCAATGTCTCTCACCTAGAATATGTTCTAAAATCCCAAGCCTTTGAAAGGAAATTATAACAAGTGCTCGAGAAAACAAAGTGGTGCCATCCGACCTTAGATAAGATTGGTTTATTTTGACTATTTATAACATCAGACCTTAGATAAGTTAGATTGATTAATTGATTTGATCATTTTAAGGTTTGATATTCGACCATTTGATGGATATTAGATGAATACCTAACGATTTTGATGTGATTTATGGTTATTTCGATAAATTTTACCTTTATTGATAAATTTGATCTTTTTTTTATATACACCCCTTGAATGTTTGATGTTTGATATATGATAACTTTGATGATTATATTATTTGACAAGAGTTAGTACTCAATAAACACATATTTTTTATGATGTTAAGGCAGGATGCCTAATGAAGTAGATGAACTTTGATACAAGGAGGAGAAGTGAAGATTCTACTAAACAAATGATGAAATTATGGCTGACTCTGCCCTTTTATAAGCCTTTAAGGCATGACCGTTAGTAATTATCAGACTTGAAAGTCCAATCAGATCACTTAAGGGTCTTATTAAAAGATTTTTGAAGCGAAGTGGACTTTGCTCTTCTGTGGAGGGAAACACATAGGAAGGGCTCTTTG